TCCCTGGTCCCACGGCCATCCCTGGTCCCATGGGCATCTCCCACCCACAGCCATCTGTGGTCCCGTGGGCATCCCTGGTCCCACAGCCATCCCTGGCACCATGGCCATCCCCAGTCCCATGGTCATCTCCAACCCATGGCCATCTGTGGTCCCATGACCAACTCCAACCCATGGCCATCTGTGGTCCCATGGCCATCCCTGGCCCCATGGCCATCCCCAGTCCCATGGCCATCTCCAACCCATGGCCATCTGTGGTCCCACGGGCATCCCCATCCCACGCTGGCACCCTCCCCTTTGCCACACAGGAAAGAGAGATATGGGGTGGGAGCGGGCAAGGTGGGGAGCCTTGAGGCTTTCAGCAGCTCCTGGGGCGACCGGCTGCCGAAGTAGATCTGGTTGGGGGGACGCAGGCCGAGGATGCAGGAGTACACCTTGTTTCTCACCTGGGGGGACATGAGTAGGACGTGGAGTGGCCGGAGTCTAGGCAGTGCCGTGTCCCCAGGAGGGGTTTGGAGTGGGGAAAGGGTGCCACCACCTTTTTTTTGAAGTTGAGGAAGTAGTTGGCCTGGTCGATGAAGAAGAGCTCGAGCGCGGAGCGGCGCAGGTTGTAGCGGCGCAGGTGGACCTCACGCAGGTGGGACAAGGGGCGCTTGAAGTCATAGCCAATCCCTGCCGAATTAGGGGGGGACACACAGAGCCCCATGGGCATCATTGTCTGCCCAGACCCCAATTCCTGAGGCAGGGATGGAGGCCAGCATCACCCTGGGGCTGGGAGGAGCCCACCCCCAAAATGGCCAGCACCTGGTGTGATGGGTTTCTGGAGGAGATAGGATGGGTGGGGGGGTTCCTCACCCCACCTCACTGCAGGGACCCCCCCAAGGACCACATGCCATTACCTCCCTCCGTCTCCTCCTTCTCGCTGCTGCCATCGTAGAAGTAGACGTGCTGGGTTGTCACCTCCAGGCGGCCGGGGACAACGGCCACCGTCGTGATGAGTTCGCAGTCCTCCGAGACCACCAACTTCTCCCGTTGGTTCTGCTCCTTGGGCTCAGCCCTGGGTGACACCAGGGGTGAGGAGACCTGGTGACACCCCCAGCCTGGGCGATCCAGCGCCACGGCAGGGGATGGGGACACTCACTGGTTGTCCAGGACGGGGAGGTCCTCCTCAGCCAGTTAGTTGGTCATCCTCCAGCTCGCTCACCTTGGCCTCCTTGGCCATGGCAAGTGGGAGGGACTCGGCGGGGTTGTGGAGGTGGTCAGCTCCTGAAAGGAGGAGGGGGGTCAGCAGACACCCCAGCCACCCATGGCTGGGGGACAGGTCCTGCGAAGGTTCCCCATCCCACCCCCCAACCCCAATGGGATCCATGACAGCTCCCAGCTCGACCCCACCATGTGCACCCAATCGGTGGCACCCCCTTGCAGGCGGCATGGGGGGGACCCCTGGGTGCCCTACTCCCATCAGCCTCACCCAGATTGTCCCGCAGGGCGCTGGCCTCCAGGTGCTGGTCAAAATTTAGGTTGGGCACCAGCTTCAGCCTCATCCGGGAGTAGGTCTCGGCGCTCGACAGCTTCCAGCGAACCTCTGGTGGGTTCCTGAGGGGCAGCGGGGGGTGAGCCACCCTGGGGACCTCCCGCCATGCCACCCCTCCCCGGGGGCCGAGGCGGGAGGCCACCGGTCAGCCCCGGAGGTGAGGGGGCCGCACGGGGGCCGCCCCTGCTTCATCACGGTGCCGTGGTGGTTGTTGGCCAGCTTGAGCATGTTGGCGTGCCGGGTGTTTTCCGCCCTGGTGCGCTTCGCCGCCGGCTCCAGCACCAGCTCCTGCCGAGGGAGCAGGAGAGTGAAGTGACAGCAGGGCTGGGGGACATCCCTGAGATGAGGAGCATGTCCATGGGGTGATGTCCCCAGGGCAAGGAGAATGTCCCAGGATGATGGACTTGGGGCGAGGAGCGCATCCCTGGGATGATGTCACTGGGTGAGGAGCATGTCCCCAGTGTGAGGAGCACATCCCCAAAATGATGTCCTCAGGATGAGGAACACTTCCTGAGGGCATTGTCTCCAGGGTAAGGAGCATGTCCCCATGATGACATCCCTGGGATGAAGAGCACATCCCCAGGATTAATGTCACCACGGTGAGGAGCCTGTCCCTGGGGTGGGGAGCACATCCCTGGGATGACATCCCCAGAGTGAAGAGCACATCCCCAGGGTGATGTCCCTGGGGTGAGGAGCACATCCCCAGGGTAATGTCCCTGGGGTGAGGAGCATGTACCCAGGGTGAGGAGCACATCCCTGGAATGACATTCCTGGGATGATAAGAACATCCCTGGGATGAGGAGCACATCCCCAGAACAATGCCCCCAGGATGAGGAGTACTTCCTGAGGGCAATGTCCCCAGGGTAAGGAGCATGTCCCCAGGATGACATCCCTGGGATGAAGAGCACATCCCCAGAACAATGTCCCCAGGATGAGGAACACTTCCTGAGGGCATTGTCTCCAGGGTAAGGAGCATGTCCCCATGATGACATCCCTGGGATGAAGAGCACATCCCCAGGATTAATGTCACCACGGTGAGGAGCACATCCCCAGAATGCCATCCCCAGAGTGAGGAGCACACCCCCTGGATGACATCTTTGGGGTGAGGAGCTCATCCCCATGACACCCCCATGTTGTCCCTGGGGTGAGGAGCATGTATCCAGGGTGAGGAGCACATCCCTGAAACAACGTCCCTGGGTTGATGATCACATCCCAGGGATGAAGTCCCCGGAATGAGGGGCACATCCTGAGGACCATGTCCCCAGGGTGAGGAGGATGTCCCCAGGATGACATCCTTGGGATGAGGAACACATCCCCAGGATTAATATCCCCTGGGAGAGGAGCACATCCCTAGGCTGACATCGTTGGGGTGAGGAGCATGTCCCCACGATGAGGAGCACATCCCCAGGGTGACGTCCCAGGGGCGAGGAGCAGGCAGTACCTGGAACATTTTGCGGCTGGCCACCTTCTCCTGCTCTCGCCGCTGGGAGCTGCTCATCATGGCATCGTAGCAGGCGTTCCAGAAATTGGACATGTGGTCGTGGCTCTTGGCGAAGGTGTCCATCTCAAACTGGGCCATGGTGGGCTGCACCTACCGGGAGAACCGGGATGAGAGGGGAGGCGTTTGCAGGGCTTGGCACCCACCAACCATCACCCAGGCTATGAACATCCTTTCCCTGGAGGTCACCCCTGCAGACTGTCCCAACCCGTTGGTGATATGGGGACCCCGCCACAGCATGGACCCATTTCTAAGCCTGGGCAGGTGTTCCCCCAACAGCGATGCCACCCCATGCCCCGTGGCACCCACATGCTTCTCAATGAAGCCCCTCCACTCTGGGGTGGTGCAGAAGTGCTGGAAGTCCTCGTAGAAAGTGGGGCTGCCGTTGGTGGGGGGCAGCGAGGGCAGGAAGAGCTGCAGCTGCAAGGTCTCGTAGCACTGGTCCATGAGCGTCCGGATGATGGGCACCAACCAGGAGAAGGTCTCTGACTTGGCATCCAGCGAGCGTCGTAGCGGGGTCTCCAGCTTGCCCAGCAGGTAGCAAGCCTCGTCCTTTTTGGGGGCCGAGGCGGTCTGCAGCAGGCTGTGCAGCTTCACGTACGCCAGCGAGTGCAGCTGCGGAGGGGGACGTGGGACATCAGATGGGGCCACCTGCCCTGCCCCAAGGGCTGGGGTCTCATCCCGAGCCCCAGGAAGGGTTGACCCACCTGGGGGTCCTGCAGCATGATGTAGCCCACGAGGATGCGTAGACCCGTCTGGGCCATCTCCTTGAGGTCGGAGGTGCCGTTGGCCAGATGGTACCAGACGCCCAGCTTGTCCAGCAGACTGCTCACCCCCTCGTAGATCTGGCGGGGGGCGCATAGTGAGCCCCCCGCCCAGCCGTGCACCCCCCAACCTCTCCAGCCGGCCGGGCGCAAAGCTGCCAGGTCTGTCCCCATCACCCAGCCACCCTCGGCTTTGCTTCCATGGGTTTGGGTTATGGGTAGGGGTTAGGATTAGGGTTTAGGGGTAGAGCCCTGGCCCATAACCCTAATGACGAATTAGTTCAGGTTTGGCATTTGGGTTACGGGTTGGGGCTTAGGGTTGGGTTTATGGTACGGGTGTAGGGTTAGGGTTAAGGGTTAGGCCTGGGGTTAGGGCTAGGGTATAGGTTTGGGGTTAGGGTTGAAGTTTATGGCCAAGGATGTAGGGTTAAGGTTTAGGATTAGGATTTAGGAGACATGGTTAGATTCCTCAATTATGAGTTAAAGTTAGGGCTCTGGGCATAGGATTAGGATTTCGGTTTACAGCAAGGCTGTAGGGTTAGGGTTAAAGGTTGGGATTGGGATTAGGGCTAGGGTATAGATCTGGGGTTAGGGCTGAGGTTTGTGGGAAGGATGTAGAGTTAAGGGTTAGGATTAGGATTTAGGAGGTACGGTTAGGAGGTAGGGTTATGGTTTCAGGTTAAAGCTTAGGGTATAGGGTAAGGGTTTGGGGTTTACAATAAGGGTGTAGGATTAAGGTTAAAGTTTAGGATTAGGGGTCAGGATTTAGGATCAGGGTTAGGGTTTACAGCAAGGGTTAAGGTTAGATTTACAGGTTATGAGGGATGGGTTTACGGTCAGATCTTAGCATATAGGTTTAGAGCATAGGGTTGGGTCTATGGTAAGGGTGTAGGGTTAGGGTTAAGGGTTAGGACTGGAGTTAGGGTTAGGGTAGAGATTTGGGGTTAGGGCTGAGGTTTATGGCAAGGATGTAGGGTTAAGGTTTAGGATTAGGATTTAGGAGGTACGGTTATGAGGTAGGGTTATGGTTTAAGGTTAAAGCTTAGGGTATAGGGTGAGGGTTTGGGGTTTACAGTAAGGGTGTAGGGTTAGGGTTAAAGTTTACGATTAGGGGTCCGGGCTTAGAATTTAGGATCAGGGCTAGGGTTTACAGCAAGGGTTAGGGTTAGGATTTACAGCAAGGGTGTAGGGTTAGATTTACAGGTTATGAGTTAGGGACAGGTTTTAGGGTCAGATCTTAGCATATAGGTTTAGAGTATAGGATCATGTTTATGGTAAGGGTGTAGGATTAGGGTTAAGGGTTAGGACTGGAGTTAGTGTTAGGGTATAGAATTGGGGTTAGGGCTGAGGTTTATGGCACAGATGTAGGGTTAAGGTTTAGGATTTGGATTTAGGAGGTATGGTTAGATTTACAGGTTATGCGTTAGGGTTATGGTTTAGGGTTAGGGTACAGGGCTAGGGGGTTGGGTTAAGGTTAAAGTTTAGGATTAGGGGTTAGGATTTAGGATCAGGGCTAGGGTTTACAGCAAGGGTGTAGGGTTAGTGTTTACAGCAAGGGTCAGGGTTAGATTTACACGTTATGAGTTAGGGATAGGTTTTAGGGTCAGATCTTAGCACACAGGTTTAGACTATAGGATTGTGTTTATGGTAGGGCTAGGGTTAAGGGTTAGGATTAGGGTTTAGGGCTGGGGTACAGGATTGGCCTTCACAGCAAGGGTGCAGGGTCAGGGTTAAGGCTTAGGGTTAGAGTTGGGGTTTATGGCAAGGGCGTAGGGTTAGGGCTAAGGTTTAGAGTTAGGTTTAGGGGTTAGGGTTGGATTTACTGGTTATGGGTTAGGGTTATGGTTTAGGATTAAGGCACAGGTTATTTTCTAAGGTTAGGGGCAAGGGCTGCAGTGAGGGGCAGGGTTTAGGGTCAGCATTGGGATTCAGAGCTCGGGTTTGGGACCAGGACCCCCTGCTCATGCCCATCCACCTTCTCGCTCCATAGGGCCTGGTTGTTGTGTCCCTCGGAGAACAAGAAGTCCTGGAGCAGCCGCAGCAGCTTGAGGGCATTGTGGGTGAGACCGGGCAGCGCGCCTGGTCCCGCCTCCTTCAGGTCCGTCAGTGCCGACTCCAGCATCATCTCCAGCAGGCTGTGGGAAAGCAGGCAGCTCTATAGGGTGGTCCTCCCTTGGGGTGCACCCCCTGGACCTCGCTCCGGACCTGGGCAGGACTCACCTGCGCTTGATCTCATCAGGGGGCCGTACCAGCTCGCACGCCGTCCCCAGCTTGGTGAGGACGGAGAAGACCTGCCCGCGTTCCCTCCACGCCGCGTCGTCCCAGCCCTCCACCCCACGCCACGTCACCGAGAAGATGATGTTGGTCAGGAGGTTGCACAGCTCCTCCTCGGGCGTTTGCTGCCAACGGGGAGGAAGGGTGAGAGGTCTGGTGTCCAGCGTAGCCCAGGGTGGTGGGCACGATGGTTTGGGGCTCACCTGGGGGTTGCTAGTGTTGGAAACGTTGTCACTGGGCAGCACGTCCTGGTAGCTGCTCTCATCCAGGACGTTTGAGAGGCTGGAGCTCTTGTGTGCTCGCATCCCTGGGAAGGGCTTGAAGCTCTCCAGGGGCGAGGGGGTGCCGGCGCCGCTGGCGGGGGTCTGCGTGCCACTCTCAGCCGTGGCGATGGAGCTGGTGCTGGCCAGGTCAAGCCCCAGGTCAAAGGGTGAGGTGGAGAAGGGCGAGAGTGGGTGGTAGACACCATCGAAGGGAGGCCCATCGCCAGGGTTGGAGGATGAGCGGCTGGGTCGCTTGGAAAGAGCCAAAGACTTGAAAG